CTTTGTTTTATTCAAGACTTTGATGAAAGAGTAAACTTGCTAGTAAAAATTGCAAATGATTTGCTAATTTGATTTGATTCCTTTATCAAAGTAATTGGAAAATTGCAGATTTCTACCTGGAAGCTTTTGATATTTTGCTTTCAAGAAAAAGAAAAACAAATGAAGTCTATATGGTCTCTTTTTTTAATTATAAACTTATTGGGGTATTCTTCAAGTCATGGTTGACTTTAATTATAATCTTGTTACTTTTGTTAATTTAATTAATACTCATGACTCTTTTTTTCTATAATCAATTAATACAACGGACTTAGTCATTGGGAATTGTTTGTTTCTGGGACATTAGATTAGGTTCATAGAGGTTAAAAGTCAACACCAGTTTCTTGTACTTGAGAAATTAAAATTGGTCCTTTTCAACATAATCTGGCATCCAATATTATTTTAAATTAAATGTTAATTTTGATCTCTTAATTTAAGGTTTTAAATAATTTTTATTCTTTAATTTTTTTTTGGTCCCTTTCCTACAAAAAAATGTACTTTTTTAGTCTTCTGTCAATTAATTCGTTAAGTCTATATAAATCTACATATTTTTAGTCCGTTAACTTTAAATTGAGGGACAAAAAATATGCATATATTAAAAGTTAAGAGATTAAAAATATGCAGATTCAAATAGATTTAATGGATTAACTGATATAAAAATTAAAAAAAAGTACATTTTTCATAATCAAAGGATTAACAAAGTGTAAAAAAAAAGTTGAGGGATGAAAATTATGTAAAATCTTAAAGTTGAGGGACCAAAATAGACATTCAACCATTATTTTACAAGTTGCTTGAATATTCATATTTCTATAAATAACATATATAGAACCACCAATATATATTGATTAATTGGAGTAAGAAGAATTTGATTTTCTTTAAATAAAATCTCAAATTTAAATTTTATAAATAAAAAAATAAACATTAAAAGAGTTTCTCTTATGGATCCGACTCGGTTTGACTCCTAATTAATCAAGGTAATTGTGATTTTCAAATACTAAAAGTTTAATATAAAAAAAAAGCATATATAAAAGAATTTAGCAAATAAATAGTATTTTAATGTAATTTAATCACCATCAAAACCTTGTAGAATTGCTGTAAAATAGTAGTACGGATCATTAAGATTACTTAATTAACAATCAAGGTAATTGTGATTTTCAAATACTAAAAGTTTAATATAAAAAAAAAACATATATAAAAGAATTTAGCAAATAAATAGTATTTTAATGTAATTTAATCACCATCAAAACCTTGTAGAATTGCTGTAAAATAGTAGTACGAATCATTAAGATTACTTAATTAACAATCAAGGTAATTGTGATTTTCAAATACTAAAAGTTTAATATAAAAAAAAGCATATATAAAAGAATTTAGCAAATAAATAGTATTTTAATGTAATTTAATCACCATCAAAACCTTGTAGAATTGCTGGAAAATAGTAGTACGGATCATTAAGATTACTTAATTAACAATCAATGCTAATCTCTACAAAGCATACTGTTGCTTGTTCACAATTATCTTCTAATTAACAAAAAACCACACAAAAAGGGTGTTAAGTATAGCAACGTGTTTAATTAAGTTACGAATGCAATATATGCCAAAAACCAGCATAGAATTCCGAATGGATAACTACTACAACCTTGGAAATCGTCTAAGTCTGTGTGCATCAAAACCTTGATTACGTTGCATATAAGAAAACGAAA